ATGCAGCTAGGAGAACTCCAGCACTGGCTCACCTGTGTGCAGAGCAGGCAGAGCTCCCCATCTCTGCCTTACCCTTTAATGCTAGAGCCCTGGCCATGGTGACCTGAGTACCTGAAACTCCACTCCTTCCTAGGGCTGCTGCTCCCCACTCTACCACCATTTGCCTGCTTAGAGTGGTGTCATTCCTGCCCTCTCACCCTCCCCTCAGAGTGGTAGTTCCTCAGAGTAGTTCCATGTGGAGCCCCTGCACCCCACACTCCGGTGGCCCCCCATGAAAGTTTCCCTGGCAGATCCTGAGTGTGGCTTCTGGGGGCAGCACATTTGTCTGTTCTTTGCCTCTGCTTCCCTCCAGCTGGAATTCCCTTCTTCCCAGTGCTCAGACTCCTGTTAGCTGTACTGCAAAGCTATTAATGATTAATGACTCTGTATTTCCCCCTTCCTTATAGGAGTCCCTCTCTGTTTGGGGTGGTGTTCTCCCCCCACCAAAAAAAAGCTATTTATTTGCCTGCCTCACCTTCAGTTCTTTTTGGACTGCAAACTTTGCTAAAGAAGAGATTTTTTTTTTCTTTTTCCTCCTCTCAGTGCCTGGGGCTTAGGAGACTTTTGATAAACTTAATTGTGAGGGAGAGGGAGGTGCAGTAGGAGGAGTGTGCCAGGGACGAATGCTCTTTGTTAGGGTAGGCCACTCCCTGCTCTGTTGTTTGCTGTGAAGGTGGTGTGGATTGTGTGTTTGTTTTAGTTTTCAGTGAAAGGGAAGAAAATGAAGTATTGGAAACCAGATGTTTTACGTACAGCCCTACCAGGAAAGAAATCACTCTTGTGCTTTTTTTTTTTTTTTTTTTTTTTTCCACTTTTGTGCTTTTTCCCAGTATCCAAATTACTCTTCAGATCCTCCTTACGTGCTTGGCAGGCCCTTACAATCCCTCCATTTTTGTTGGAATGTGAGCTTATGGTTTTAGAAAGTGAGGTCTTCCAAAACAGATGCTCAGACCACAGAGTCCCTTGAAATGAGCGTGGTTGCAGGATGCCCCATTTTACATCAATTAAGCAGAGTTCTGTGCTTGGGGCCCTGGCCAACATGGGGCCTATGGGAGTGTCTGCTGTCCCCAGGTTTCAGTCTGTTGGCTCTGCAGCCTCATACAGTTGTTCTAGTGACATTAAAATATTAGAAATTATGTGATAACTAGGATTTCATTGAATAAGTCAGGTTCTTACCTTCTGGATGAAATCTTTCCTTAGTTACATTGAGAAAGCAAGTAGTTAAAACCACTGTCTTCCTCGAAGAAAGTTCTTTTTTTTTTTTTTTTTTTGGTGGAACCGGGGATTGAACTCAGGCCCTTGTGCTTGCCAGGGAAGCACTTATTCCACTGAGCCATCTCCCTGGCCCTCAAAGAAAGTTTTAATTGTCATGTCATTTCCAAATGTTCCCTTTTGTTTATGGCTATGTAGTAGATTCATGGAAGTTACTCCCAGTCTGAGAAATTTAGAGACTTAGTGAGATTCTGTTCCAAGGTAAAAAATAATTTAGGAGCTGGAGATATAGCTGTTTGAAGGTGAAGGTCCAGGGTTCAATCCCTAGTACTACCAATATATAAGTAAATATCAATTAAGTAAAAAAGTAACAGAGTGAGCAAGCGAACAAGAGAGAAAAGCAAGGGACTGGGGAGATAGCTAGGCAATCTAAGTGCATACCTGGCAAATGCAAGGATCTGGGTTCGATCCCTGATACCACTTGCCCTTCCAGCTTCCAAGCCCAGCCATGCTGGTCACTGAAACAGGGTGTGATAGTGCATGCCTGTAATCCCAGTGCTGGGGAGACTAAGACAGGAGAATCACTACAAGTCTGAGCTGCGTAGGAAGACTCTGTACCAAATGAATAAATATATAAAAGATTTTTTTTTAAACTTAAAAAAGAAAAATCAAAGTGATTATCCCCCAGGTTTGTCACTGGGTTCTGTAGAATGACAGGCAGTGGTGGGTGAGAGCGAAGAACAGAAAGGTGAGTGAGGGTGTTGGCCTTGACAGGGCCTGTGGCAGCTTGTTCATCTGTGACCATTCCTGCAGGTTGGCACAACTTGTTATGTAAGAAACCACACAGTGACAGGTAGGAGGGTTTTATTTGTTTACAGTACTCCTCAGCTTGTGGTGGAGTTACCTGGTAAACTCTATATGCTGGTAGAGATTGTAGTGGAAGGTGTACTCAGTTGCTCCCCAGCCAGCTTCGTGCCTAGCTCAGCAGTCTGCTTCCCCCTCATGATTTTGGGTGATGCGGCCCTGCCACTGCCCAGCAGCAAGAGCCTGCTGACTGCAGATTAGCATATTGCCCCCATGAGGAAAGAGTCCAAAGTGAATCATGGTTTCCATTGACTGCCTGTCACTTTTATGGGTCCTAAAGTTGCAGTTACAAGCCTGGTTGGCGGCTACTGGTGCTGCAGACCCAGCTGCTCCTGCCTCCGTGCTCAGTACTGCGGCTCCAGTGTCGTTGCATCTATAGCCCACAGTGCTAGGTGAGACCGGAGAGGACTCTTGACCAGCAAGCAGGTGGCTGCTGAGGGCAGTATCAGTTTGGACTGGATTTTGTCTCGGTTAAGTAGTACGCTGGGGATGAGTCCTAGTGCTTCACTGTGCAGAAGTCTATCTCACTGCTCGCTTTCCATGAGAAGCTCATTTCCATGCTGGTCAGTCAGAGGTAGTCTACTCTACTCACTTGTAAGAGACAGCCACTTGCTGCCGATGGAGTTACATGCGCTCTAGAGCAAGAAGTTGCCCATGTGCTTTTACTAGTCCCTTTCCATGTAACTCAGTTTCTGTCCTTGCCTTTCCTTTTCATTTATTTATTCGCCATCAATTTCTGTAGAAAAAAGACATATTTTTATTTATATGTTCAGGTCAAAATACTAAGTGGACACCGTGTAGAAATCCAGAAGTACTGACCTTCAGCTTACAATGTGTTGGGTGGGAAAATGCTTTGATACAGGACACCCTTAATGCAAGGCAAATTTTGTGATGTCTTTCAGGTAAATTGGGAGGGCTTTCTGAGGAAAATTTCTTTCTCACTTTTTTTTTCTTTTTTAAAAATATATTTGGTTGTTGCAGGGTCTCACTATGCAGCTCTGACTCATAGCGACCCTCCTGGTTTTCAGCCTCCCCAGCGCTAGGATTACAGGTGTCCACCACCACAGGACTCTATACCACATTCAGCCTGCTCTGCAGGTGGGGCTGGCATGGCATGTGATGCCTGCCGGGATTGAACTGTGGTCCCTGTACCTGCCTAAGCTTGTCTAAGCAGGTGCTTTTAGTCTGCTGAGTTATCTCGCCAGACCCTTTGAGGGAAATTTCTAAAGATAAAAGGGGATCAGCAGGTGGGTAGAGGTTGGTAAAACCATGAGATGCGGGATAATGATAGGGATTATGAGCTTTTAGGACAAGCCAGAAATCCATATAGAAAATTTAACCTAAATACTGAAGCCATGGATTTTAAAATCAGCATGTAGGCTGGGGAGATAGCTCAGTGGTCTAAGCATCTGCCTGGTAAGCACAAAGACCAGGGTTCAATCCCCAGTACCACATGCAGTGCTGGCCCTGCCCCAGGCATGCCAAACCAGCCACCAAGACTGGGTGTGGTGGCACATGCACACCCATGCCTGTAACTCCAGCGCTGGGGAGGCTACAACAGGAGGATCACTATGAGTCCGAGCTGCATAGTAAGATCCTGTACCACACACATGAAAAAAAAAAAAAAAAAGCATGTATGTATTGGTCTGACAAGATGATCTGTTTAATGAAAAAACCTGGAGAGTCGTATTTCATTTTCCTGAATGAGAGTGCTAAAGAGACCAGACCCCTATATCACTTTGTAGCTACTTGGGATAGTGTTCATGGGCAAAGACCTCAACAAAAACAGTGCCAGGCCTGGATCCTCTGCACATAGTCCCTGGTATGAATAGTACACATATTGAATTTGGTTCCACAGCCCACAGTGAAACTGACACAGCAGGAGCTAGGAATGACTTGGCCCTTGACCATACTAGGAATGTTCTTCCAAATCTGTCGTTAGCAGCCACAGCACCCAGATTTTATCTGCAACTTGACCAGGATGCATTTGTGTCATGGTTTTTTGTTTTGGTTTTTGGGTTTTGGTTATTCTGCTGCTGTAAGCCCTTATTACACTCAGATATCTCTTGTTTCTAAAGACATAGCCAAAGATAAGATAAAATAAAATAAAGACATAGCCAGCAATAGCTGTGTCCACCTCCAACAGCATGACAAGAGACAGAAAGATGGCAAAGGCAATCACACAACAGTAGGTCTTGCAGGCCCCACAGCAGCCACCAGGAAGAGATAGCACCCACTGCTGTGGTAATCACAGGCAACAGAGTGCCAGCTGCAGCCTGGGGAGTCCTGCTTCCACTCAAGATAGGCTTTACCACTGTACCCACAGTGACCAGTCCCACTGCACAGCCTCAGAACGGACAGCAGAACAAACAGCAACAACTTGATGTATTTCATTCTTCCCTCCACCCCCATGGCTGCTGGGCCCTACCCACAGCATAAGTTTGCTGACTCCTTTAGCAGAAAAAGCATTTTCAGGAGTTGGCAGTCCAGAAGCATGGAAAAGATTTGTTTTGAAAGAAAAAAAAGCACATACTCAGAAGGGAGTGTGGGCGTGCAGAGAATGAGACACCAGAATGAAATATTTTAAAGGAGCTATCAGTTGTTCAAACTGCTATTCTAACCTGACTCCTCTGTGTGTATGTGTGTGTGTGTGTGATTTATTTGATGGTAGACTACATGTTACAGGGAACATCTTGGGAAAGATGTCATGTGCTCAGATCAGAGCTGAACAGTGTTTTTGTCACTTTTATGAGTTATGTGGGTTTTTTTTCTTTCAAAGGGGGAATAGTTTTGAGATCATTGTCAACTTCTGAAAAAGCCACACTAAAATTGTATGAAAACCACAAATGAACATTTTTCTCCTATTTATTTTCTTTTTCAGAGTGATGGTATTCAAAATGAAGATGCTGGAAATTTTTAGTTCTTCATAGGAACTACAAAAATTGAAGGAAAGAACCTTTTCAGAAGGAGATTGTTTTGAAAATATGTTTACATATAACTGATTACTGTACAGCTTTTAAAAAATAATAAAACACTTTGAGAAGATTGTATTTATGGTAAAAGGAAACTGGACTAACAATGAGGCCAAAGACTTTTCCTGCCACAACTTACTCTGGAAATAGCCGGCAGCGACTGCAGGAGATCCGCGAGGGGCTGAAACAGCCCTCCAAGTGTTCTTCTCAGGGGTTGCCCATGGGACCAAACAGTGAGGCCTCCCTGGATGCCAAAGTCCTGGGGAGCAAGGACGCCTCCAGGCAACAGCAGATGAGAGCCACCCCGAAGTTTGGACCTTATCAGAAAGCACTCAGAGAAATCAGATATTCCCTGTTGCCGTTTGCCAATGAATCAGGCACTTCTGCTGTTGCTGAAGTAAACCGGCAAATGCTGCAGGAGTTGGTGAATGCAGGATGTGATCAGGTAGGTACAGGCTTCCTCTGGCTTCCTCTGGACAGTTATAGTGGGTGTCCCATGAGGAGGACAGCAGGGCATCAGAACCTTTTGACAGTACTCAGAGGTTTTGAATTGCATGGCACTCACCGGAATGTTTGCAGGTTAACCCAGGGGCCTTTTATACATCATTAAATTCCAAGACTCTTGGGCCACTTTTCCTTTTCTGACAGGATTTGGAAGTATCTGAACACTCCTGAAATTGTGCAATGTGCACTTTCTGTTCTGTTCTCTGTGTGTGTGCATGCATGTGTGCATGTATGCTGAGGAAACCAAGACCTTGTGCATGTTAAGGACACTCTACCATTGAGCTACACTCCAGCCCAGGACTGAGAAAGCTGGGTGTGTTGGTGCATGACTGTAATCTTGGCTCTCTTGGAGGCTAAGGCAAGAAGTTTACAAGTTCGGGGCCAGCTTGGACAACCTTGTAAGACCCTGTCAGATAGGTAGGTATACCTCAGTGCAAAGAACCTGGGTTCAGTTTTTAGAATAGTACCACTAATACACACAAAGAAAGAAAAGAGAAAAAGAAAAACTAGAAAAGATTGCAAGATCATCAAAATGTGATGGTTCCCTTTGCCTTCTTTGTGGCTTAGGAAAGAATATATTAATAGAGGTAATACCAATTGTACATAAATACACAGCTCACCCTATACTTTTATGAATTAAAACCATATTGAAGGGTGGAATTAGTGACCAATAGGTATGAAAGTAGTTGATAAGATATAACTAGTGAAATTGTCTTTATGCTATGAAAGGGCTTATGAGAGCCAGTGTTTTATTTCTGTCATCTTAAAAACCATAGTTACATAAGATGAAAATAAGCTGAGTATTTTTGCTACCTTGGAAAGGGAGATTTCATGTTCAAATCACACACCTAGGTTGCTCGAACACCTTTGGGTAAAATAACCTAACTACCTGCTCCAGGCATCAGAGTTGTAGAAAAACAGTAACAGTGTCATCTCACCATCTGGTATTTCCAAAGGCAATAGCATTTCTCTAGTAGTTCATTATCATAGATCTGAATAAGAGTTGGCCAAGCATGGTGGTACACACCTATAATCCCAGCACTTGGGTGGCTGAGGAGGAAGGTGGCTGAGGAGGAATTGCTGGGTGTTCAAAACTAGCTTGGGCTATGTAGTTCAAGGTCAGCCTGAATTACATAGTGAAGATAGTGAGACCCTGTTTCAGAGAGGGAGATGGGAAAGACAGAGGGAGGAAGGGTGAGGAAGGGAGAGAGAAGATGCTATGCCTGTGGAGTAGATCCTGGAATTTTATTTATTTATTTATTTATTTAGGCTGAACCAGGCATTGAACTCAGGCCCATGCGCTTGCCAGGGAAGCGCTTATTCCCCTGAGCCATCTCCCCAGCCCTTATATCCTGGAATTTTAGAGGAGCTACCTGGTGCTTGGGAATATACTGGGATAACTTGTGTCTAACAAGCCTTGCTCTGTGAACTTCCTTGGTAAAGCCCAGGATCATGAGCAGTATGATGTGGAAGGTTTTAGCACTGACAAGAACGGTACAGCCTTGCTCACTGTAGAAGTTTGAAGTTAAGTATGATGCTAAATGCTGTCCCCAGATGGCCAGAATGGGAAGATTTTGAAAACAGAACAGTCCTGAGGAAACCCCACAGGAAGATTGTAGAGCTTTTAGGCCAGCTACAAAGCTTAAAATGTGTAAGTCAGTTGCAAACAAAAGCAGCCAGGGCCTGGTGTTCTTTGCAGTTGTTTTTCATCTATGGAAAAAAGAAACAAGTCAAGCAAATAATCCACAGTACAGGTGGGATCTTATTAGGGTGAAAATAATGGCAATTATAGTACCAGAAATAGTAGTGCTGGTACTGTTTATAAAACCATAAAATATAATACAGGAACAGTAAGATCGTAATTCCAGTGAAGTTCCATCAATGTTTAATTTATGTTAATTACTATCAGAAGCAACTCCATTTACCATATTTATGTGCTCCCCAAATAATTCAGTTTGTCATCTAGTATTACTTTATGAGTTAAAGAAGTGTACCCCCTCCCAGCCCTCCAGCTTAGACAGGGTATGATTGCTTTTAGGAACTTTAGGTAGGAAAAGTCATTCTGTGAACCTGTGTAATGCAAAGAAAGAAAGCATTCCCTCAGGACTTGTGCCTGTTTGTTGGATAAAGCAGATCATTAAAATTCTAGTATAATAGGTAAAGAGAATTCTTACTATTGCAGCTTGCCTCCTTTGTCTCATTATTTTAGGTGCAGTTTTATTCTCCTGTATTTTGAGTTTAACTGTTATCTTTAAATTCCAGTATTCATCAGAGTGGCTGTGTGCATGCTGTTTTCCAAGGTCTTACAGCAAGGAGCTGTTCTTTAGATACACAGATTCAAGGAATTGGCATGTGCTTTTTATGAGCAGTATCTTATTTATTGCATGTACATACACATATACATTTTCCTATTCTACTTGGACTAAAAATTATTGAGAATATTTACTTGAGTGTTTGTAAAGGACTGCTTGGTACTAGGGGTTGACTAGGACCTTTACCTTGAGTCGTTGTATCCAAGCCTTTTCTTTTTGTCAAAGACAACAATCTTGCCAACGTGCTTAGACTGGGCTTGAATTTGTGGTCTCTTGCATCAGCCTGTCAGAGTCCTGGAGATACCGACATGTGCCCCCAAGCCTGACTTTTAACTTTTTATTAAAGTTAAATATTTATTTTAAAAGTACACAATTTTTATAAATATTGTAAGCCTGGTGTAAGCCTGTAAGCCTGGTGAATTTTTACATATTAAGTATACCCATGTACTAACATGGATATGTATATTTGTAATTAAAACTTCTTAAACTGACAACTAGTAGAGAAAAGGAAAAGACCTTAGGGATAAATATTTTCTGTGTAATATATGTCAAATGATGTATAGTGTTCATAAAACTTTTGAACCTAAATTAGTGAAGATTTAAGAAAATTTCTAGAGGTAAAAAGAAAGTAGGTCAGGCATTCCTTAAGCAGGGAGCTGTTCTTTAGATCCACAGATTCAAGGAATCGGAAAGATAAGATGTTCCTGGGGCAGGACCACCAAGATGGAGGAGTCATAAGCAGAAGAGAAAGCCTTTCTGAGAGTTACTATCCAGATGCTGGAATATAGCAATGTGAGGAAGACAAGAAGGAGGGAAGTTGGTCCCCTGGGCCCAGGAAGCATGTGAAGCACAAATTGAAGCCCACAAAGAGAGTGAAGAGAGAAACTTCAATGAAGAAGGAAGCGCAGGGTGCCTTCTCCCTGAAATAGGACTCTGTGTATGAGAGGAGCAGTTCAAACTTGTGGACACACAGTGACTGTTGATGACCTCAGAGGCCTCCATGGAGAGACACAGCAGTGGAGGGGAACAGTGGATGTGATGGACTGTATTAGCTGTTGGTGAGTGCTGAGGGCTCAGGTGTCCTGTCCCGCATGAGATAGAAATTGGCCGGAAGCCAGCTTGGAGATGAGCTGACTGAACTCAGAACACAGAGCTGCTGCCAACTCCATCTAGCGGCTCCCAGCTGGGCTCAGACCCACGACCCACAGGAAGTGTCCTGACAGGTACAAGCCAAATGAATCTGGTCTCAACTAGAAGGTGCAGGCTCACTGAGATTATCCACTATCCTGCTATATAGCTACTACTGGCTTGCTGGGGTAAATCAACATGGACCTGGATTCTGTCTCCTCACATTGTCTATTAATGACAGCAGAGACAAACCTGAAAGTAGACTTTTTGTTCACTCTCTCATTTGGTTTTTTGCTCTTGTGGTGGTGGTGGTAGTTTTGGCTTTGTTTTTTGTACCCCCCCTTCATCGTTTCATCTTATTCTTGCATGAGTGTGAACATAGTTTCTAGTCTCTTTGTGGTTATTGTGCAGTTCTTTTCTTTTTTAAAATCTATTCCTTCACTCTTTCCCTCCAATTTTCTGAACAAGCCTTGCTTCTAATTTCCTCCTCTTCTGCTTCTCTATTTTCTCCCTAACCCCTTTTAAATTGTAACCACTAAAGATAAAATTGACAAATTAAGGATTTCTATGCTGCATATAATTTTCTGGTTGGTTTTAGATTTTTATATAACCACAAATCTAGTTCATATGGTTAAAGATGGCAAATTACTGATTACCTCAGCTTGTCATGTTCTAGGCTGTGTTTGATGCTGTTGTTATTGCTGATAGTACTACTGTTCTAAACAGCTATTCCTCCTGTTTTTGTAAGACTGAGATTGACTAAGTCACAGAAAATACTGTGGTACGGTGCCAAAGAACCAGAAGCTGGGCTAAGAAGGCAGCAACTTCTCATTCCCAGCAAATTGAAGAAGTAGGATCTTATAAGACTCAAAAACCAGCTGCATGTGGAAGATACTTAAGAGGAATAAGTCATTTCCTAAGAGTTCTAAATATTAGCAATAAAGCAACCCACCACAATTTATAAGTATCATCCAAGGAATTAAAATTTTAAAAAGAAAAAGAAAATGAGAAGACACTTAAACAAGATGCAACCCCAGACATCCATTTCACTAAAGGCATTCCCAGGGGGCAGTGAGGTGGGACAGCCCGAAAGCCACCCCCACCCTCCTCTCTGAAGTGGTAATAACAAAGCAGTTAAATGAGGCTCTAGAAAAAATAAAATCAGAAATAATTTCTCAGATAACTTCAGAGATAGTCCACGATGAAAGCCATGCTTAGTGACTCTAGAGCAGATACTGATAAAAAATAGTAGAGCTTAAATTTTTTTTTTTTTTTTTTTTTTTTTTTTTTTTTTTTTGGTGGGAACAGGGATTAAACTCAGGTCCTTGCACTTGCCAGGGAAGTGTTTATTCCACTGAGCCATCTCCCCAGCCCTTACACAAACTTAAATTATACAGCCTTTTTTTTTTTTTTTTTGGCAGAACCTTAGGCCTTTGCACTTGCCAGGGAAGCGCTTATTCCACTGAGCCATCTCCCCGGCCCTGTAGAGCTTAAGAAAATT